ATCTTCAGTGTCTACTCCTTCACCTCTTCCTCTTGTGTCTGTTCCTCGTGTGTCTATTCCTCCTATGTCTGATTCTTCTGTGTTTTATCCTCCTGTGTCTGATCCATCAAGTACACTAGAGAGACGGAAGATTATGACACCTGAGTTGGTATATCATAGAAGGAAAAAACCCACACTGCTTTACTAGCAACCTCAATCGTCTGAACCACTGGTAAGTCCTAAATCTCAGATTTCTGATCATGATATTAATACTTCTGATGACTTACCCATTGCTTCTGATTCTGATGATTTACCCATTGCCCTAAGAAAAGGAAAATATCTTGTTCCAAGAAATCTTGTTCCTCATGTCCCTCTTATACTCAATACCCTATCTCCCATTTTGTTTCTTCTACTAATCTTTCTGTGTAGCACAAAAGCTTTGTTTCAGAACTAGATTCTATTTCAATCCCAAAATCAGTACATGAAGCATTGAAAGATAAGAATTGGGCTCAAGCCATGCAAGAGGAGATGAATGCGTTGGAGAAAAATAGAATATGGGATGTTGTTGATAAACCCAATGGAAAGAAAACATATGGGTTTATGCCCTGAAGTATAATTCTGATGGAACTCTTGAAATATATAAGGCTCAGTTAGTCGCCAAGGGTTACACTCAGACCTATGGCATTGATTATGAAGAAACCTTTGCTCCAGCTGAATATAGTGAGAGTCTTGTTATCCCTTGCTATCCGTTACAATCGGGATATAAATCAATTTGGTGTGAAGAATGTTTTCCTTAATGGTGAGTTAGAAGAAGTCTACCTTGAAATCCCGCCTGGTTTTGATTTTGTGAATGGAGAAAATAAAGTTTGTAGATTAAGAAAAGCCTTGTATGGATTAAAGCAGTCACCTCGTGCCTAGTTTGAGAGGTTTACTAAGGTTATGATGACCTTAGGATAGAAACAGAGTCAAGGAGATCACACTCTTTTCTTTAAGCACTCCCAAGATGGGAAGCTCATTGTGCTCCTTGTATATGTTGATGATATTATTATAACATGTGATGATTTTATGGAGAGACATATTCTGCAAACACGACTAGCCTCTGAGTTTGAAGTTAAAGACCTTGGGAAACTGAGATATTTCCTAGGGATAGAGGTAGCTCATTCAAATAAAGGAACTTTTATCAGCCAGAGAAAATATGTTCTTGATCTTCTCAAAGAAGCAAGAAAGCTAGGGTGTAAACCCTCGAATACTCCTATTGAGCAGAAACACAAGATAGGTTATGAAGAGGAGAGTCCTTGTAACACCCCGTGTATACCCAGTTTGTTATCATGTCATCGTATACTAAGCTACGCTTAATTAAAATTGCGGAATAAATTTTTCTTTTCAATTACGATGTCATTATCATTTACCAAGTTGATTACTTAATCATTTTCAAAACATCGCGTGTATGTAAATTGCAATGAAACATCTACCTGAAATACCTCATTAAATAAATAACAACTGTGTTTCTAGTCACGGAACTACAACATGTAGACCGAACAACATCCTGATAATTTATACAACTCAAACTACAAACATACTAACATCAATGTGGCGTGGACAATCCTCATGCTCACCAAATAAGGCAACAAAGCCCAACAGAGTCTCAATACAATAACAATAGCCATAAAATGTAAGACATGTCAGCATCCATGTATATAAATCAACAGTCAACTAAGCTCTGGCCTCCTGCCGCCAGATGTCTCAACCCCTGAGTTACCTGAACCTGAAAATGTGCCCCAAACGTGGGGTGAGATCTCTAAACAGAAATCTCAATAAGGCAAGGGGTCCTCAAGGATTTCTCCACCCCAAGCTCACTTACATGTGCAATATAAGTTCTAAAAGCAATATACAATATCAAATCCAAAATCAGTGCAATGCAGCAGATAATCATGTCATGTGTGTCAATACTATTCTACTGGCTAGAGAAATGCAGGATTTATATACGTCTATTACCCATATTAGTGCAAGACGTCACTTGCACCCACCCATAGGATGACCATATTGTATGACACCACATACTCAGGCTTACCGTCAAAGTGGAACAACACATACATATTATAAGGCACTTGCACATAAAGCTCAACAGCATTTCAGTTATCAAAGCTTGAAAACATATCATGCATATAAACCATTCCCCCATGGGGTATGGTGGAGCCAACAATGGCTAAACTAAGGACACGAAAGCTTACCTCTAAGCAATCAATGCAATCCAAGGATCACACCAGCTCAAAGTCCACACACAACATAATCACAATCTGTTTGGACCAAAAATCATATCAATATTCATACTCTACAAGCATAAGACATAAAGACCAAGCCTTCCTTTTACATTTCATGTCTTTAGGCTTCTCACGAAGCCATAAGCCCTTAATCCATTTGGTTCTGACTTAGATTAATTATTACAGAAGTCCACATTAGCCAAATCATGGGTCCACAAACCCAAAATATCATTCTGTATGAACAGTACTGTTACTGTCTCGAACTTCCCAGAATATCCAGATATATGTCGGGGCCATATCCGGATATCATATCCGGATATCCATATTCGGATATCACAAAGCCCATATTCGGATATCAATATCCAGATATCATATCTGAATATTTCGCGACAGAATGCAGTTTCTGCATTTCGCGAGATATCACATCCAAGGTTCCATTTTTAACACACTATAACGTTAAGGCATGCATCTTTAAGCCCTTTTAGGTCAATTATCACGTTGGTTACTTGTTTATCTTATTAAACATGCCAAGACTCAACTTTTAACATGAAAAATTCATGATCAAGGTGATGGTGCTTACCCAAAAGCTTCAAAACAGAACCACAAGTGCTCTTGTAGCTCACAAATCAGTTCCACAGTTCTGACTTTAAAGGAGTACAAAAATACTCCACAAGCAAGGTCCTTTACCACTCAAAATAGCTTCTTGAAGTTACACAAGCAAGGAAAAAAGGCTTCCCAACACTCAAACCAACAAGGTCAGCTCCCACACCTCACACACAGTAGCTCAAACTCAGAAATGGTGGCTCTTTCCCACTCACAGTGCTAGCTCACACACGGCCAAGGTATTTTGGTGAAGATTGCAAGAAGAAAAGATGCAACATGGTTGAGTTTCAAAAGGAAGAGAAGGTGGCAGCATGAAGAGCCCAAACCTCAGAAATGGAGGCACGTAGAGTTGTATTTTCTGACCTATATGTGTGTGCCAAGGCTATTTATAGGCTACTTAAGTTTTAATCGCACTGTATTAGCTCTAGTAGCTACACTTAGCATTTTAATGCCAAACTTAGGATTCTGAACCTACTCATTTTTCTAGGATTTGTCATATTTTTATTTTATTTTTCGCAGCACCTTTCTGGAATCAGTTCTCATTATTTTGACCTGAAACTTGTTATGCTAGTCCCCTATATTATTCTAGGAATATTCTCACACTTATTATAATTTTTCGAGATACTTCATCGTTACGCATTTATACCGAGAAGCAGAACCGGTATTTGCACTTTTCGTCAGAAAAACGACTTTCAATATTATTTCACACTTACTATAATTATTTAAGCTTCTCATAATTATCAAGTTCAATTATAGAATTATCTCATTAATCCATAATTAATTAATTAATTTCTTAAATTAACGGTGCGGGTTCTTACAGTCCTCCAGTTGATAAAGAACAATATCAATGGCTAGTTGGGAAACTGATATATCTGGCTCATACTAGACCAAACCTAGCTTATGTTGTTAGTGTTGTCAGTCAGTTTATGCACGATCCAAAGGAGAAATACATGCAGGCAGTGGAGAAAATTCTTCAGTATCTTAAAGCCACTCTTGGTAAAGGATTGTTATTTCGGCGTGATGACGATTTCTCTTTAGAAGTTTACAATAGTGCTGATTATGCTGGATTTTTGACTAACTGTTGTTCTACCATTGGTTATTGTATGTTTCTTTATGGTAACTTGGTGACGTGGAGAAGTAAGAAACAAGATATAGTTGTCAGGTCAAGTGCAGAGGCTGAATTTCCAGCTATGGCTCAAGGCATTTGTGAGTTATTATGGCTGAAAATTGTACTTGATGATCTAAAAATAAAATGCGAGGGACCTATGAAGCTGCTATGTGATAATAAGTCCGCTATTTGTATAACTCATAATCTAGTTCAACATGATTGGATTAAACATATTGAGGTCAACTGTCATTTCATCAAAGAAAAACTTGATAGCGGGTTGATTACCACTCCATATATTTCCAATAAGCGTCAATTAGCTGATGTATTGACAAAGAGACTTCCTTCAGATAGATTTCAAGAGCTTACTAGCAAGCTGAGAATGATAAATATCTATTTCTCAGTTTGAGAGGGAGGATTGTAAATAATAATATTTATTTATTTATTGGACTTAGTCCATTAGATCATATAATCTCTTTAAATAGAGAACTTTTTGTACAATTTACATACAATTTAAATAATATATTCCATTACCATTTTTCAAGTAATTTAGATGCCTTTACGCCAAAGTCTAAACAAAATTAATGAGTTTACTGTTCCAATTAGATATGCATCGTGTGATCCCATGTAAACAATTTATATTTTCATTTGTTTTTCTAGTCGACTACACTCTTCAATATTGCTGATGTAATCCCTTACATCACTTTTGGACCTTTTCCATATGCATTAATTTATACGGTAATACTTATCTTATATTACATAAAAAAATATTATCTTATGCTCAAACAATAGTTAGGAGAGAAAAAAAAGTTGAATGTGAGAAAAAAAAATCTTGCGAGATTCATTTAAAAAATATGAATGTAGGAGATAATAATTTTTTTATGTAAGAAAAGTAATTCCTAATTTATATCAATGCCACTTTTTCAATTTCCTTTTGTTTTCAACTTTTTCTGCATCATATGTTGACAATTGAATATTATTAAATGATTAAATTCCTTTCCAGTACTTTCCAAAAAAAATAAAATTGAAATAGCTTATGGTTTTATAAAGCCAGAAAACCTTAGGACTCAGACCAGTAACTTCATAAATATTTGTTCAAGTCAGGTGAATAGAAGTTCGGCAATGGCTACATATCAGGAAGATGTGAAGCTTTTGGGAATAGTGGGAAGCCCATTTGTGTGCAGAGTGCAGATTGCGCTTAATTTGAAGGGAATTGAATACAAATATCTGGAAGAAAAGTTTGATAACAAGAGTGATCTGCTCCTCAAATACAACCCAGTTTACAAGAAGGTTCCTGTATTTGTTCATAATGAGAAGCCTATATCAGAATCCCTCGTGATTATTGAGTACATTGATGAGACATGGAAAGACCACCCCATCTTGCCTGCTGAGCCTTACCAGAAAGCCTTGGCTCGTTTCTGGTCCAAGTTCATAGATGACAAGGTAAATCCAGTTTTCTTCTTTTCTTGCTTTTCATGTGCTGATTTGTCCCATAAAAATAATCTTCAATGATATCTAAATGAGTAATCTATCAATAAGTTAGAGAACTCAATAGTTAACTGTCAACAAAGGAAAATTTTGCATAAATTTCATTTATAAATTATATCGTATATGAACTTAATTTGTTTAAAATTATATTAATGATTGATCAAATTCATTTAAGAACTACCTTAAAATATTGTTGTGGTTTGTAAATTTTATGGAATCTTGTAGGGTTTGATGATAATGTTTAATTTTGGAAAAAAAAAAAGAAAAAGGAATTATGTGCCGCACTACAGTGTTTCTAACTAATTGACAGATTTTAACCGTAGAGAATATCGAGATTCCCATAACAAAATTTACCATAAAAAATGGGGCTAAAGAAGAAAAAGTTACCACCTTAAACAAATTGTTTTCCAATTTATATATGACTCAATCTAAATTCTGTTTGTCCTAATTATTTTCTAACATAATTACTTTAATTTGTGAAATCAGTGTGTGGTTGCTGCATCGAAAGCTGTTTTTACCATTGATGAGAAACAGCGCGAGAATTGTGTTGAAGAGTCATTTGAGAATCTGCAATTTCTTGAAAATGAGCTCAAAAACAAGTTCTTTGGAGGAGATGAGTTTGGCTTTGTGGATATTGCTGCTGTCTTCGTAGCGTTTTGGATACCTATATTACAAGAAGTTGGGGGGCTGCAACTGTTCACCAGTGAGAAATTTCCCAAACTCTACAATTGGAGCCAAGAATTTCTCAACCATCCCGTTGTCAAAGAAACTCTGCCTCCTAGAGACCCACTTTTTGCCTATTTCAAAGCTCGCTATGAAAGTCTTGTTGCTTCAAAATAGATTAATATCGAAGACCCATAATTTCTAAGGAAAATTTTATGAACACTGGACTTGTCACAATTAGTCTGGTTTGGATAAGTTATTTTTCTCTATAAGCTGCATTTTTTAAGGAAAAAAAAAAACATTTTTTACTGTAAGATTGTTTGAAGCAGAAATCACAAAAAAAAAATTAAAAATTTATTTTTTAGAAGCTAAAAATTTTAGCTTTTAAAAAAAAACATAAGTCAAAAGTTAGATATTTTTTTCAAAAACTAAATATTCTTTTAAAAATTTAAATAATTTTAACTTTTGTAAAAAAAATACTTATAAAATAAACAAGGCATAAAAGCTATTTTTTTTTAAAAAAGGTCAAACAAACGGACTCTTATTGCTGTTAGAATTTCATTTCAAAATGGTATGTAATCTAGGATTTCTCCATCCCAAAGAAATCCTAGGATGTTAGTTGACATTTTTGTTTTTTCAATCAATAAAAGAAAAATAATTTTTTTTATGGAATTATTATTTTTATTGTCATTATTAGATTTAAAGAAGACAATACAAATGGTAAGAATAGTTGGAGTCAAAAACTTTGTTTTAATTATTAACAAACAAAAACATAAAAAAACACGCTAAAAGAAAGAAATGTACAGATATTTATTCCTTCACAAACTGGACAAATCAATATAAGAGATAAAGCTTATACAGTTAAAAATTTTGGTATGGCATAAAAAAAAAAAAAAAAAAAAAAAAAAAAAAAAAACCTCTCTAGTCGGGGTTTATGGAAACAGAAAAATGCATGGGACCATCTTACAAGAAGAAGCACAGGAAAAAAGTATATTATTTACTAACCTTATGTACTTGTTGGATGAGAATTGCATATGCATTCACTGTTATTCAGTACCACTTATTTTCAGTATACAACAGTGATGGAGTTATTCCATGAAATGATGTGTTTTGGTTATTTGACTGTCATATAATATAAGCATGTCTTTTTTTTATTTTTTTTAGATTTATCATTCTATCCCATTTGTCTAAATGGTACATTTCTTTGGGTTTTTTTTTTTGGAAAATCCATTTATCATATTACATGAATTATGAATAGCTTTTTTGCATACACAACTTTTTATGGTCCCATTACAGTTTTTTCTCTCGCCTGATTTATTGTCTTTGTGGGAAGTACTAGTTTTGTCACGTAACATTACAAAATTAATACCCTCTCGTTTCTCAAAAGCTTTCTCTATGTGCTCTAGCTCAGGGGACCAAAGGTTTTCTATCGAAACCCCTATTTTGGCCTTTGAAATTGAGGAATCTTTTGCGTATATTTTTGGTCCATGTTCTTTGTTGTTTGTTCCCTATGTAGGTGAGCTTGGTGGCACAAATCGTGAGTCTTGGGCATTTCTTGTTCGTGCGACCTATTCTTGGTTCGTGATCTGAAGTGGAAAGGCTGCTCTGGCTGTAAATTTTTTGACACACATGCCTGGATCTTATAACAAGTGGTATTTTACGCGGTTGATTTTATAAGAAGTGATATCTAGAGCCTAGGTTCTTACACCTGTTTTGTCTTCCTGTGGAGTGCTTCCCCCTTCCTTTATATTATGTCTTTAATTCTATGTATCCTCAAAATGGGATATGGGGCATTCTAGCTGCGGACAAGCAAGCACAGACAAGTGTCTGAAACAGACACGTTTCGACATGTGTCCGACACACAGTTAATATTTGGAGACACACGGTTAATTCTTCGATACGTTTTTTTGATACGCAGTCAATTTTTTTTGACATGCGGTCAACGCTCGGGCATGTTTTTTTTTTAATCTTAATTTTATTTTATTACTAAATATAAAAAAAAAAAATTATAAAAAAAATTTTCTATTATGAAATTTGACATGAAAAATTAACAAAGTACAAAAAAATTATTTATATTTATATTTATGTTATGAAATTTAAATATTTGATTGGTTATATGACTTATTATGGACTCTTATATGTATTAAATATAAATTATATTACATATATATATTAAAAATTTTATTTAATATTAAAACGTGTCCCAACGTGTCGAAATATGACATTTTTTAGAATTAACATATCGGTGTGTCGTGTCGTGTGTCGTGTCCCGTGTCAGTGTCGGTGCATCATAGGCTGCGGAACACCATATTTTGTGTCCCCATTATTGCTTTAATAATATAAATATTAGTATAAATGCAATAAAATAAAGGTCCAATCTAAAGTGTGTATAGCTACTACTAATGTTGAAATAGACTAAACCCGAGCAACATCACCAAAAATTTGTTGGGACTTCGGCAAGTGCATCGGTCGTAAAAGTAAAAAAATGTAAGAGTACGAGATCGTTCCCGCGAGGTTTAAAATTTCAATCACTAATTCGTTACTTTTGCTTAAGTTGGACTATCAATTAAGAGGTTTGGGTGAAATTTGAATTCAAATTAAAAGTAGATAACTAGACAAGAAGATAAAAGTTGGATTACTCGTTAATCAAGAAACGCAGTTAAGGTTTCAATTTCCCCCAATTTTCCCTTTATGTTATGAACTAAACCCTTAATTAACCGTCCTTAAAATAACGCCAATCAATTCTCTTAGATTAATTAGGACTCAATTCCTTGACATCTTAGTTATTTATTATCTTGAAAGAACCCTAATCCCTCGATTATTCCTAAAAAAAACATGGATTAAGTTCAAGAATCATAAAGATTGCATAATTCCTATGCCCATCCCTAGAATCATAAGAATTACAATGAGTTTATCGTACGCAGTTCATGTACCAACATCTCTATTGCAATACAATCACCCTAGATCAGTCTACATTAAGAGAAGATAAACTTATACAATTTGAAAAGGAAAATTAACATTAAAGATTCATTCAAAACATAAAGGTTCAATTAGATTCCATCTAGCCCTAACTACAAAGAAAATCTAGCCTAACATGGTGGAATCAAGAAAACGAGAAAGCTTTCCCAAACTCCATTGGTGTGATGGCGCAGTGAATCTTCAAGGATTCTAGCGTAATCTTGACTTCGACCCATCTCTTGCTTCCAAAGCACAAAAGACACGCTTCTCTGATCAAAACTCTACCTTCGATTTCAAGCTCAATCAAAGACTCATGAAGAATAGCTTAAATAGGTGTAAGAATCCTTGTTTTAGGTGAAAACTATATAATAGGCCTTAATTGGGCCGCAACTGGGCATTAAATGGGTTCGAGTGCATTAAGATGAGCTATTTTTACAACAAAAATATGGTTTAATATTTTGGCCATAACATGAGCTATACTCTTCCAATTGATATAATCTTGGTCATGTTGGAAAGATAAAAGAGAGATTTATAACTTCTATGAGAACAAAAAGATCCAAATCCATTATCTTTGATGCAAAAATTGCCGAAAGACAGCTTTATGGTGATTTTCACCAAATAATTGCTCCTTAACTACCACTTTAAGTTCTTCAAGCTTAACCATTGATCCAATACTCCAACTCAACTCAATTGTCCTACAAAATAAGCAAAAATCATTCACATAAGTCAATAATTCGAAATCCATTTTTTTAGCCAAATAACTCTAAGTTTTCATTCTTTTAACTAGATATAAGAATTATTTTAGTCCTTAAAAACATGATAAACTACAACGAGGTCTCTGACCATGTCCACCATGGCCCCGACCACGACCATGGCAACGTCCACTATTCCTGCGAACGTCAGTATAGGAAACAAGAGCAGTGAAATAAACAACAGAAGATGAATCAAGCGCAGGCACTATTATCTTGTTGAGATTCAAAAGGCCCTGGTAAGTAAGTGATAAATTAGGATCCCCACTAGTCAAGATAATGTCATAGACACTATCATACTCCTCGGGAAGACCTAAAAGAGTGGCAACCATAAAGAAGCGCTCCACATGTTTCCTATATGTATAAGCATCAGTAGGTAAGGCGGCATATTCAAGTATGTCTGCATCAAAGATTGACTTTTGCCAACATATGTCTCCATCTGAATGTCAGATGATTTGCGCAAATCCATGAATTGAGAAATGATAGAATAGTGCTGTTGAATATCATTAGTGTAGAGGTTTTTAGCTTCCTCCCACACTTCATAGCATGTCTGAAAATAATAAAAAATGTCCATAATGATTGGTTCAATAGACTTCCAAAGAATACCCAGGAGCTAGTTGTCAATCCTTTCCCATCAAAATTTTCGTCCTTAGGAATAGCAGTCGATTGAACTGTGAGATGTCGCTCATACCCTTATCCAAAGAACCAGACACGAACAGAGATGGCCCAATTCTTGTAGTTAACAAAACCCTTCAGTTTGGATGAGGTAATGGGTCTAACATTAGTGGTGGTGATACTCAAAGAACTTCTGGCTGGAGGAGGAGGAGAATTGACCTCCGAGTGAACAGGAGATGATGCTACCATTATGAATGCAATAAAAAGTTGCATAATAGAATCAAACCAATAGCCAGAGAAGAAGAAACACGTGCCTCCACGAAGAACTAAGAGCAGATCTGGAAGGAGGAGACAAAATCGAGCAGTTCTGTCCTGAAATGTCAAGAAAGGGACGTCGGAACAGTGTTTCCGACAATGAACAATAACTCCGACGATGTGAACAGTAACTCTAACGAAGAACAATAATTGCAATAATTGTTGGCAAACAGTGCTTCTGACATTTACAAGCCAGAGGAACACAAAGCAACGGAAATAGTTTTTTTTATTAAAAGTGGGAATTGCTTAAATCAAGACTTTAATTGACCTACTCCACAAAGTTTTTTTATTATTATTATATTGCTGATGTAATCCCTTACATCACTTTTGGACCTTTTCCATATGCATTAATTTATATCAATGATTAAATTACTTTTCAGTACTTTCCACACAAAAAATAATTAAATTAGCTTCCTGGTTCTATAAAGCCAGAAAACCTTAGGACTCAGAGACCAGTAACTTCATAAATATTTGTTTAAGTCAGGTGAATAGGAGTGCGGCAATGGCTACATATCAGGAAGAGGTGAAGCTTTTGGGATTTGTGGGAAGCCCATTTGTGTGTAGAGTGCAGATTGCTCTTAATTTGAAGGGAATTGAATACAAATATCTGGAACAAAAGTTGGACAACAAGAGTGATCTGCTCCTCAAATACAACCCAGTTTACAAGAAGGTTCCTGTATTTGTTCATAATGAGAAGCCTATATCAGAATCCCTCGTGATTATTGAGTACATTGATGAGACATGGAAAGACCACCCCATCTTGCCTGCTGAGCCTTACCAGAAAGCCTTGGCTCGTTTCTGGTCCAAGTTCATAGATGACAAGGTAACTCCAGTTTTCTTCTTTACTTGCTTTTCATGTGTGCTGATTTGTCCCATAAACATCATCTTCAATGATATCTAAATGAGTAATCTATCAATAATTTAGAGAACTCAATAGTCAACTGTCAACAAAGGAAAATTTTTGCATAAATTTCATTTATAAATTAGATCGTATATGAACTTAATTTGTTTAAAATTATATTAATGATTGATCAAATTCATTTAAGAACTACCTTAATTAAAATATAGTTGTGGTTTGTCAATTTTATGGAATCTTATAGGGTTTGGTTAGAATGTTTAATTTTTTTTTTGGGGGGGGAAGGAATGATGTGCCACACTGCAATGTGTTTCTGACAAATTGACAGATTTTAACCGTAGAGATTATCGAGATTGCGATAACAAAATTTACCATAAAAAATGGGGCTAAAGAAGAAAAAGTTACCACCTTTAAACAAGTTTTCTTTTGTTTTATAATTTCTATATGACTCAATCTAAATTCTTCTTGTCCTAATTATTTACTAACATAATTACTAATAAGTACTTTAATTTTTAAAATCAGTGCGTGGCTGCTGCATGGAAATCTGTTTATACCATTGATGAGAAAGAGCGAGAGAAGTATGTTGAAGAGTCATTTGAGGCTTTGCAAATTCTTGAGAATGAGCTTAAAAACAAGTTCTTTGGAGGAGAAGAGTTTGGCTTTGTGGATATTGCTGCTGTTTTCATAGCCTTTTGGATACCTTTATTTCAAGAAGTTGGGGGGCTGCAACTGTTCACCAGTGAGAAATTTCCCAAACTCTACAAATGGAGCCAAGAATTTCTCAACCATCCAGTTGTCAAAGAAACTCTGCCTCCTAGAGACCCACTTTTTGCCAATTTGAAAGCTCACTATGAAAGTCTTGTTGCTTCAAAATAGATTAATATTGAGTGAAGACCCATAATTTCTAAGGAGAATTTTATGGACACTTGTTTGTCATTGAGTTATTGCTGTTTGAATTTCATTTCAAAATGGTATGTAATCGAGGATTTCTCCATCCAAAAGAAATCCTAGGATGTTAGTTGACATTTTTGTTTTTCAATCAATAAAAGAAAAATAAATTCTTGTTTATTCTTTTTTTATTTTTATGCTATTATTATTTTTTGTTATTATTAGATTTAAAGAAAACAACGCAAATGGTAAGAATAGGTGGAGGTCAAAAACTTTATGTTTTAATTATTAATAAAGAAAAAACATTAAAACTTTGCTAAAAGAAAGAAATGTACAAATATTAAATCATTCAAAAACTGGACCAATCAATATACGAGATAAAGCTTATGCAGTTCAAAATATTTGCAAGGCATGGAAACATAAAAACGTATGGGACCATCTGGCAAGAAGAAACTGAGGGGAAAAGTATACTATATTTACTAACCTTATGTACATGTTGGATTAGAATTGCAGATACTCGTACCTCTTCTTTTATACAACCGGACGCAAGAACGTATTTTAGCCCATTGGATTCCCATTAACTCAATCCCTTTTGTTTACCACTCACTCCAGACAAAATGCCACAGTTTAATGGATTCTAAAGTAAGAATATAACTGATGGGCTTTGCAAAATGGATCCAAGTTGGTAACAGAATTGAGATTCAGTTAGAGGAGAGAAAAGAATAAGTGTCTAGGAGTTGGGCTGTTATATTGGTGAGTGGAGAATTTGGATCTATTTGTGACCTCGGTTTGTTGGTTTTTGAGAGCAAGCAATTGGGTCATCTTCCTTAGTGTTTAACTTGTTATTTTCTGTATTTTGCTGTTAGTTTCTTGTGATTGTTAATATCACAATTCCTTTCTTGGTTGTATTTGCAATTGTAAGGACATATTCCAATGTTGTTAAACCCAAACCGATCATCGACTCCATCAGAGCACCGGTCATTGAATCACCGGTTGAATCACATTATTTGGATAAATGTATATAAATTTATATTTTATACTTAATTATATAATAAATATTTTAAATGATGCAATTTAAACTACAACTAATATAGTCTAGTGGTAAGTACTAGAATGTATATCCTCATGACAAGGGTTCCATCCCCCAACTTCTAAAATAATTCTATTAAATTATATAATAAATATATTAAACAGTGCATATTATCCAACAAGTAAGAATAGCCTAGTGCTAAGTGGTAGCGCCACTTACTTCCATGAGCTAGGTTCGATTCCTAACTACTGTGATACCCATCAATTTGGTATCAGAGCATTTCCGATCCAGGGCAATTGGGTCATCTTCCTTAATATTTAACTTGTTATTTTCTGCATATTTTGCTGTTAGTGTCTTGCGATTGTTAATGTCACAAGTTTCTTTCTTGGTTGTGTTTGCAATATTAAGGACATAGTCTCTATTTTCAGTTTAATTCAATATCAAATACTGGTACAGTCAGTAACCTTGTTACGGTGGAGATTCCTAAAACTAAAAGAATAGTTGGGGCTCCATCTTGGGCCTCAGATTACATTGTGTAATATGTAATCAGCCCAAGTCATTTCTGTTAGTATTGCTTTTAGAGTGTGAACCTTCATTGCATTCATAGCTTACGTGTCTGTCTTTAATTGTAATTTGCAGCTTACGTGTTTGTTTTCCCAATTCTGTTACACGGTTATTAGGAGGCGTGGCATATAATGGAACTAAAATGTGTCATGAGATTCATCAATTGAAATATACAGTTCTTGTTTGTTATTCTCTCTGTTTCTCTTCCATTGTTCATTTGCTCCTTTCGAAGATTTCCAATTAGGATTCGCTATCCTAACATTGGTGCTTTCATCTCTTCGGAGCTCAACATTCACTCATCATGCGTGTTCAAGATTTGGCGGATGAATTCGGTCAGTTCCAGCTTCGCGTTGATCGTAGCTTGGAAGATCTACAAGCTAGGGTTGAGCTAAGGTTTACCGAACATCAGACTCAGTTCACTAATCTTAATCTGCAACTCCAGGAGATACATGCAGCAGTGGTAGGTAACAATGTTCCTCCACATGGTGCTCACTCATCTGCTGGTACTGGTTTGGGTGGGACTTCTCATCAGCGTTTTCCTCCTGATGATCCTCGCTCCCTGATGAAGTCTGTTCGTATGGAATTACCTGTTTTCAATGGATCTGATCCTAATAGCTGGATTTTTCGTGCAGAACTTTATTTCGGATTACAACAGGTTCCTGAACTGTTAAAAGTCCGATCGGCGGGAATGCGCATGGAAGGTTTGGCCGGTCCTTGGTTTCAGTGGCTCTTCAATGGTGGTTCGGTTTGTTCTTGGGAACAACTGAAATTGGCAATTCGCCAGCGCTTTGGAGGTAGCGCGTACACTGATTTGAGGGGTGTGTTGTCAAAATTGACACAGGAGGGGAGTTTGAATGATTACATTCGTAATTTTGAGGCCTTGATCAATCAGGTTACTGATTTTTCTGATGAGGTTCTCATGAGTTTCTTTGTTTCTGGTCTGCTTCCTGACCTTCGACGAGCTATTCAACTGCATTCTCCTACTTCTCTTCACCAGGAAATGCAGCTTGCAATCACCTACGATGCTCATTTTGTGGAATTGAGATCCTCTTTCCAATCCCCAGGGGGTAAGAAGAGCTTTGTTAAAAGCTCTTATACTGTTGAACAACCTAAGGCTTTGACTGCCATTCTGCCAAGTCCAAAGCCTGTTTTACCTGCCTTACCATCCACTGCATCTTTCAAGAAGCTGAGTACTGAAGAACTGTGTCGGCGGAGGGAATTAGGCCTCTGTTACACTTGTGATGAGAAGTGGAATGCTCGTCATAAATGCCCTTCCAAGATGTTCCTCATGGTGGGAGATTTCGAGGACTGTGCTGATGAGTCTGATGAGCAAATTGTCTGGCAGCCTGAGGTGGAACCTGAGGTCACTCGTGAAGCTGCCCTCCACTCTTTGAAGGGTGACAAGAACCTTCAAGCTCTTCAATTTCGGGTGAAATTTAAGGGTCAGTTTGTTGCAATTCTTGTTGACTCAGGTAGCTCACATAACTTTATTCAGAAACAACTAGTGGATGTTTTGGGGTTATCTACTGTCAAGGTCCCTAGAATGCAAGTGTTTCTGGGTAATGGGGAATTTTTAATATGTGATAGGAAATGCTTGAATGTGCTGTTGGAAATTCAAGGATATCATTTCTCTGTCGATTTATGGGTTGTTGAGTTAGCTGGTTTTGAAATCATCTTGGGGATTTCTTGGCTGAGTAAATTGGGCAGAGTCATCCATGACTATGCAGAATTATCCATGGAGTTTTTGTCCAAAGACCGCAGAGTAATTTTACATGGTGAATCTCTTGGTGGCAGTGAGGAGCCTGAGGAAAAGCAATGCTTATTATTGAAGGTTGATTTGGATGCTCAAGAGCTTGAGTGTTTACCTGAGTTATTGGCCTTGAAACACAAAATTTCCCTTGCTGTGTGGAATATATTAATACAGTTCCAGTCAGTGTTCCAGTTACCAAAGGGATTGCCACCTTCCAGAAGCTATGATCATGCCATACACCTAGTTGAAGGAGCACAACCAGTCAATGTTCGGCCATATAGGTATGCTCATCATCAGAAAAGAGAGATTGAGAAGCAGGTTTCTGAGTTGTTGGCTTCGGGGTTCATCAAGGAGAGTAGGAGTCTTTTCCATTCTCCAGTGTTGTTGGTAAAAAAACATGACAACTCTTGGAGGATGTGTATTGATTATAGAGCTCTGAACCATCTCACAGTCAAGGACCGTTTTCCAATTCCTACAATAGATGAGCTACTGGATGAACTTAAGGGAGCCAACATTTTCACCAAGCTGGATTTGAGGAGTGGTTATCATCAGATCTTGTTGGTTCCAGAAGATACTCCAAAAACTGCTTTTAGGACTCATGAGGGGCATTATGAGTTTTTGGTAATGCCTTTTGGCTTAACCAATGCCCCTTCTACATTCCAGGCAGCCATGAATCACATGTTTAAACCTTACCTTCGCAAGTTTATCATAGTGTTCTTTGATGATATTCTCATCTATAGCGGCTCCATAGAGGAACATTATCATCACCTTGTCCTCACCTTGAGTTGCTTGCAGGACAATCTGTTTATGGTTAAACTCAGCAAATGCTCTTTTGCTTTGACAGAAGTGGAGTATCTTGGCCATTTGGTTTCAGGTAAGGGTGTGAAGGCTGATCCCAAAAAAATTGAAGCCATGCAGCTATGGCCACAACCTAAAACCATTAAACAGTTGAGAGGTTTCATTGGTCTTACAGGAAACTACAGAAGATTTATTCGACACTATGCTACCATAGCTTCCCCACTAACAGATATGATGAGGAAGGATGCTTTCTTCTGGACAGAAGCAGCTGCTCAGGCTTTTGCAGAACTGAAAGGAGCAATGTCTGCCACTCTTGTTCTAATCCTTCCTGATTTCTCTTCACCTTTTGTTGTAGAGACTGATGCTCAGCAGTGGGAATAGGGGCTGTCCTGCCTAACATAATCATCCTATAGCATTTTTCAGTAAAAAGCTTGGGCCAAGGATGAGGGTAGCTTCTACATATGTTAGAGAACTCTATGCTTTAACTGAATCCGTGAAGAAGTGGAGGCACTACTTGCTTGGTTCCAAGTTCATAATTCGCACGGATCATAGAAGCTTAAAGGAACTTCTCACACAGACTGTGCAGACCATTGAACAACAACGATATGCTTGCAAGTTGTTGGGATATGATTTTAGCATTGAATATAAACTAGGTGCAACCAATGTGGTTGCTGACTCCTTATCTCGATGTTTTGAAGGTGAGAAACCAGGTATGAATTTAGTATTGCTTTCTGAAGTTTCTTTTCCCTTGCTGCAGCAGATTAAAGATGAAAATATTTCTGATCCTGAGCTCTTAGCCATTCGGGAAAAGCTGTGTAATAATGAATTACTGAGTTCTGATATAAGTGAGAGAGATGGTATTTTATACCATAAGACCCGATATTTGTTGGGAGCTGCCTCTGCATTGAAGGATATAGTTATGCAAGAAGCACATTCTACTCCTATTGGAGGTCATGCTGGCATTTCCAGAACCTTTCTCAGACTTTCAGCTTCCTTCTATTGGA